GATCCCTCAAGGATCTGTCATTCCTAAATTGGAATTTCATGAAATCTCTTGTAAAAGTTTCTTAGCCTGAAGTTCCAGCACATACAGATGGTATAAATTTGGACCCCAGATTCATGAATTCTCACTCAGCGTTCTGGGTAGACTGCAAAGTTCCTTTCTGCTTCAGAAGGCCACTGGGTAGAATTTTTCAAGGTCCTTCATCATGGATGTTAGTCTTTTTTTTTTTTTTTTTTTAAAGACAGAGTTTCACCATGTTGGTCAGTCTGGTGGTCTTGAACTCCTGACCTCAGGTGATCCGCCCATCTTGGCCTCCAAAGTGCTTGGATTACAGACATGAGCTACCACGCCTGGCCAGATGTTAGTCTTTTTTTTTTTTTGAGATGGAGTTTCGCTGTTGTCACCCAGACTGGAGTGCAATGGCACGATCTTGGCTCACCACAACCTCCACCTCCTGGGTTCAAGCAATTCTCCTGCCTCAGCCTCCCAAGTAGCTGGGACTACAGGCGCACACCACCATGCCCAGCTAATTTTTATATTTTTAGTAGAGACGGGGTTTCACCATGTTAACCAGGATGGTCTCGATCTCTTGACCTCGTGATCCACCCGCCTCAGCCTCCCAAAATGCTGGGATTATAGGCATCAGCCACCGTGCCCGGCCCAGATGTTAGTCTTAAAACACGGTTTTTTATACAGGGGTCTCAGTTCCAGCTCCTACTACATGCCTTTAGGCCACATATCCTGATCCCAATTGATGGGGCATGCTCTTTACTGCTCTGATTTTGAGGTCCCTCAGGGATTTTCTATTTGGCAGGTTCAGCTATGCATTAATTTTCAAAATATATATAGTGCATCCAGCATTTTTATATTTTATAGCAGAAGGCAGGTATCTAGTCTCCTTTACTGAAGTTCCCTGAATATTAATTTCATACTGGCAATCAAGAAATACAGCCTCTTCCCATTTTTCTGAGATCAGTGCTCCCCCTAAAAGAAGAACTGGCACGTTGCAAGGAGGGATGTAAAAAATGATCCCTTGGATCACAGGAGGAAAATTTTACAGCTCTTTATTTAAACTGACTTAACACAAAAGAAAAACTGAGTTAAGGTCTAACTGACATACAGGTACCTTGCTCAGTCTTCATGTTAGGCAGCCTCACTTTACATATGATGCTACAGGTTTCTTGAGGGAGTGGGGTGTTCTCCACCCAGGACGTGGGTTAGGGAAGCATAATCCACATTTGCTTGCTTTCAGCGTGTTATGATGAATGGAAACACACAGGTACTCAATAAAGTGAGCTTATGGGGCCGGGTGAGGTGGCTCAAGCCTGTATTCCCAGCATTTTGGGAGGGCGAGGTGGGTGGATCACGAGGTCAACAGATCAAGACCATCCTGGTCAACATGGTGAAACCCCGTCTCTACTCAAAATACAAAAAATTAGCTGGGCATGGTGGCGCGTGCCTGTAATCCCAGCTACTCAGGAGGCTGAGGCAGGAGAATTGCCTGAATCCAGGAGGTGGAGGCTGCGGTGAGCCGAGATCACGCCATTGCACTCCAGCCTGGGTAACAAGAGCGAAACTCCATCTAAAAAAAAAAAAAAAAAAAAAAAAGTGAGCTTATGGATTATGTTACCTGGTTTCAACCAAAATAAAGTGAAAATGAGAGTTACACAAATTCCTTCGAAGAAGTCATAAATCACAGACAATACTATCTATCATACTAATAACTAACCAGAGAAGAAGAAAATGGCAATTCTGAGACATCTCTTATTCTTAGAATGAGCTGTTAAGTACGGCATAGTAGAGCTCCTGTGTAATTTTTATGTGATATATGTATCCTGTGTGAGGATGCTAAGAACGTTTTAATAACAGGTGAACATGCTAAAAAGTGCTTGGTGACTACTGCTCTAGACAACCAGGTTATTCTCGTGTACTAACAGGCTAACTCTGCCTGGTGGCTAAAAAACTAAACTATAGATCTTCAACTGGTGTCCTAGAAAAGACTCCTATTAGAACCTGAGTTCCAAAGTAAACATGAAGACGTACTGGACGGTGACAGTCTCTTGTTTCCTAGAGATTACATGAAATTATTACTATGTGGTAGTAGCTCTCAATGGTCTGGTAAGTCACAAAAGAAGGATGACATTAATGTGTGTGACCTCTGCCCATAGGGATGCAAAAAGATTTGGGTGACAGCTCTCATGGCTTCTTGTTACTTCTGAAAAAACAGGACAAGTAAAACTAACAGTGTTGCTGACTACTTTGGAAGTATAGTATCCATAAAAATGCTTTTACATGAATGTGTGCCATAAAGTCAGTCATTTCAAAAAGTCACAGCAGCTCCAATTACACTCCTTCTCTTCCATGCAAGAAAATGAGTGGAAATTATCCTAGAAATAACTTATCTGCCAAAATACACTTTTGTTTTTTCTTTTTTTGAAACGGATTCTTGCTCGGTCACCCAGGCTGGAGTGCAACAGCGTGATCTTGGCTCACTGCAACCACTACCTGCTGAGTTCAAGCAATTCTCCTGCCTCAGCCTCCTGAGCAGATGAGATTACAGATGTGTGCCACCAAGTCCAGCTAATTTTGTATTTTTAGTAGAGATGGGGTTTCGTCATGTTGGCCAGGCTGGTTTTGAATCCCTGACCTCAGGTGATCCACTTGCCTTGGCCTCCCAAAGTGCTGTGATTATAGGAATGAACTACCACATCCTGCCCAAATATACTTTTAAACATTTCAAATTTCTATCAGGCACAGTGGGGCATGCTTAATACCAGCTACTCAGGAGGCTGAGCCAGGAGGATCATCTGATGTCAGGAGTTCAACACTAGCCTGGGCAACTAGTGAAATCCTGTCTCAAAAAAAAAAAAATTTAAATTTCAGTAAGTTAACTATTTTTAGTAAGAAATTACTTGGCCTATTCAACATAAATGACTAAAAAAAGATTCCAGAACATCATGGTTTGAGAGTTGCTTCTTGGCATCTGAATTCATCACTATTTTATCTGAACTGGTTATAGGTATATAATATTATGTTAATTACCTCAGCCTTCTGGGTAACTGGCCTGGGCCTGGGCTGGCTGGATCTCCAGATTGTCACCTCTGACCACAAGCAGCCTCCCTGATTTACCCTGGTATGCTCTACAACTACTGCTTTTGATCTGTGCATTGACGAAATTTTGCGATGCATTACGTTAGAGGAAAAATGTACAAATTACGGTCTGTGGGCTAAATGTGGCTTGAAGCCTAGTTTTGTATAGCCCATGAACGAAGAATAAGTTTTACATTTTACATAGTTTTTAAAAATCGAAAGATGTAGGGTGTAGTGGCTCATACCTGTAATCCTAGCACTGTGGGAGGCTGAGGCAGGTGGATCACGAGGTCAGAAGTTTGAGACCAGCCTGGCCAACATGGCAAAACCCTGTCTCTACTAAAAATACAAAAATTAGCTGGGCATAGCGGCGGGCGTCTGTAATCCCAGCTACATAAGAGGCTGAGGCAGGAGAATCACTTGAATCTGAGAGGTGGAGGCTGCAGTGAGCCAAGATCGTACCACTGCACCCCAGCCCAGGCGACAAGAGCAAGATTTAATCAAAAACACAAAAAACAACACAGAAGATTATTACATAAAAGTTTTATGAAATTCAATTTTCACTATCCATAAGTGAAGACTTAATTGGAATCACACTCATTGGTTTATGTATTGTCTACAGCTGCTTTTGTACTGCAACTGCTGAGTTCAAGAATTGTGACAGAGACCATTTGGCTCACGCCTAAGACACTTTTTATCTGTTCCTGTACGGGAAAAGTTAAGCAACTCCTGCCTCAGAGTGTCTTATCAAAACCAGGAACCATGCTCTGTTAGCAGACCTGGCTCTCAGCAGGTCAGCATATAATGTCTCTGTGCATGGACATACTCTTCCTTGGCAGTTAACTATGGCTTAATGTTGGTAATGGTTAAAGCATACACCAAAGTAACAGAATAAAAACGGGCACATACAATCTAACAAAAGGCCGTTGAGTAGCTTTAGGGTTTGAGGCAATGGAAAATTTTGATGCTGACATAGACTTTTAAAACATGTACTGGGCCAGGCACAGTGGCTCATGCTTGTAATCTCAGCACTTTGGGAGGCCAAGGCAGGCGGATAACCTGAGGAAGGGCATTTGAGACCAGTCTGACCAACATGGAGAAACTCTGCCTCTATTAAAAATATAAAAAATTAGTTGGGCATGGTGGCGCATGGCTGTAATCCCAGCTATCTGGGGAGGCTGAGGCAGGAGAATTGCTTGAACCTGGGAGGCAGAGGTTGCAGTGAGCCCAGATCATGCCATTGCACTCCGGCCTGGGCAACAATAGCAAAACTCCATCTCAAAAACAAACAAAACAAAACAAAAAAATATAGTGATTTAGAGATCACAGAACAGAATGCAGAGGCTCCTTAGCTTTCAATGAGGCTATATCCATATAAACCCATCGTAAGATGAAAATACTGTAAGTCAAAATGCATTAAAATACACCTAACCTTCTGGACATCATAGCTTAGCCTGGTCTATCATAAACAAACATGCTCAAAACACTTAAATAGTTGGCCAGAATTATCTAACACAAAGCCAATTTTATGATCAAGTGTTGACTATATCATATAATTTACTGAATACTGCAATGAAAGTGAAAAGCAGAATGGGTGTACAGGTACTCAAAGTACAGTTTCTACTGAATGGATACTGTTTCAAACCACTGTAAAGTTAAAACATTTTAAGTTGAACCATCTTAACTTAGGGACCGTTTGTATTTGAAATTGAAGGCTGTCTGAAAAAAATACTGAATGTATATTACGTATCTAGAATTTCTTTCTTTTTTCATGTCTAAAGAAAGATATAAAAAGGGTTACTTCTCCACATAAATGAGGAACAGATAAAGAGTGGGGTGGACAAGAAACTAGAAATGAGCTTTCCTGAGCCAAGAGAGTTCCATATTACGAGAGGAAGAAGCATATCTCTTACTTGCACAAGTGTAGGCATCTTTGTTGGTGAAAGGCTTCGTACACTGGCTACAGCTGATGGGACCCACAACAGGAATGGAACTGAAAGAGTGCCCATTGAGAGTCTTCTTATCTTTCTCTTTGTCTTTAGAATCTTTCTCCTTCTCCTTAATCTTTTCTTTTTCTTTTTCCTGCCAAACAGAAGAAAAGAATCCACAATTAATTGTACACTGAAGGGCCTTCTCCTTACCTGGGTACCCAGATGGCATGTGATCAACAGTGGCTGGTGACTATTCTGGACAAGAGTGAGAAACAAAGTTCTGGGCAATGTTTTTTTGTTTTTTGTTTTTTTTTTAATTAAGATGTTGGCATGCAAGATACATTAGAAAATTCACATGAAAACTGAGCAGGCTGAACAATCCCAGCAGTGGCTTATTCAGTGGTTATTTCTACTGACAGACACAATGGCCTACAAAGAGGCTTCTGAGAGCCTCAGCAAAGCCCTTCCTCAGCAAGTCACACCACAGTCCACACAGGAAGAAAGCCATGGGTTTAGGGTCAGCTTTAGGCAGAGGGCAGAAGAAAGAGTGGTAGCTATTGGGGGACTGGCCTAAGGTAGAGAAAGATGCCTGGGTGGCATGAAAAATTACTGAGTAATTTTTCTCTAACTTTCTCATATCAATCGCATGTCCCTAAATGAGGGGCTATCTATGAAGTTTCCTCCTTTACGTTAGTCAGAAATATTAAATATGCTCCACATACACATTTTCAGTCTTTGCTAATTAGAATTTTAAGGTTTATAAATATTAACTTCAGCCTAATTTTCAAACTGGCAAGAGGAGACATGAGAGGGGGAGGCTGGAAAACCGCACAGGGGTTAAGAACACAGACAACGGTGCCAGACCTTGGTTCAGATTCAGGTTCTGCTACTACTTCTCGGTAACAGCCTGATCTTGGGTAAATTATTTCTCTGAGTCTCAGTTTTCTCATTTTTCAAATGGGAGTAAGTACCCATCTCATGTTGTTTTATGGCACACAGTGAATACACAATAATGCTTAGCAATATAATAATTAGTCATAATTTACTGGAAATGAGTTTCACCATCTCATTACTCTCCTAAGCCAACATGGAAAGGTACTGCTTACAGTAAAGGAAAGGAAGTTTTGATGCGAGCCAGAAGATAAAAGAAACTGGGGAGTGGCTAAAGGACAACGGTGCAGGGCAGAGAGGATAGGAGAATGCGCAGTTGACAGGAAGGAGCCTTGTTAATAATTTTTCTCGGCTGGGTGTGGTGGCTCATGCCTGTAATCCCAGCACTTTGTGAGGCCAAGGCAGATGGATCACCTGGGGTCAGGAGTTCAAGACCAGCCTGGCCAACATGGTGAAACCCCATCTCTACTAAAAATACAAAAATTAGCCGGGTGTGGTAGTGGGTGCCTGTAATCCCAGCTACTTGGGAGGCTGAGGCAGGAGAATCGCTTGAACCCAGGAAGCAGGGGTTGCCGCGAGCCAAGATGGCGCCACTGCACTCCAGCTTAGGTGACAGAGTGAGACTCCATCTCAAAAAAATAATACTAATTCTTCTCAAAAACTGCCTTTGTTGTCCCTCAAGCTGGTTAACAACAGGGTGACTTTAAGAAAATGGGGTACCAGGAAAAGAAGTCTCAAGGTCTAGCAGCTCACTCACTCTTGTACCCTGAGTACCTAGGGGTGCAGGAAGGTAGGAAAAGCAGGTGATGTCCTTAGGTTGGAAAGATAAGTTTCCTAAGATGTACTCTCTGACCTCTTTTGTGAAGCTCCTTTCTTTCCTGTGGTCTTCCCTCACTTGTCAGAGTGGCAACAGAAACTGATACTCATCTTGTTCTTCTTGTGTGCCCAGCCACTGCCCAGGTGCTTTCAATTACCAAGCAGGCCATAACTGGACCAGATACAAAGCGCAGGGGACACCAGAAAAGGAGAGATCAGACTGGGTGACCAGTGAAGCACTGGGCTGGGAGTCAGGAGCTCTCAGTGCCAGATTACTTTGGCCACGTCACCTCAAGAACAACATAAGAAATGTCAGAAATGTTCTAGACATAGACCAAAAGCAGAGGACTCACGTGACATCAAGCCACAATCTAACAGAGACTGTTATTAAAGCTTACATAGTCATGAAGAAGAATGGAAAAGAATTCAAACCTTGAGAACTTGAAGAACTACTGATGAGTGTTGGGTCCTTAATTAAACACCTAAAGCAGTCAGGGACTTTTCAGATGGGTACCATTCTGAGGAGGCCAGGACCATGGGGATATAGCCATACTCTCCATAAAAGGTCCTTTAGAAGCACTGTTTGGCAGATTACTTGGCTGGAAAATTAGTATCAGTGGAATAATTTCCTTTTGGACCAACTGGACTACAAAGAACTACCATCCACAGAGGTAGAAGATTTTACCTATTGCCAATACTATTGTTATGTCCTAAAAAAATTCCAGAAAAATGGGTATCCCAAGTTAGTGATCATGCCAATTACTAAATGCCTTACATTTTGAATCAATGTCTTCTACACACATCATTTCATCTGACTCAGTAACTCTGAAGTGGGCAGGGTGAGCATGATACTTCCCACTTGACAATGCAGAGGATAAAGAGAAAACAGCTAAAAATCTGAACCGTCACTACGTGCTAAGCACTGTAATACGCAATTTACATGTATTTTCTCACAACAACCCAATGAATTGAGTACTAGGTATTATCTCCATTTTACATTAAGAGATGGAAGCTTAGAGATGTTTAATAATGCATTTGAGGCTACATGCCAATAACTGCTCCAGCTGAAATTAAGATTCAGATCTGGCTGACTGTAAAGCTCAGCTCTCATGCATTGCACTATGCTGTCAGACTGGAGAGATTGGTTGACTTGCAAAGGGTCACACGACAGATGATCAACACTGTCAAAATAGGAACCCAGGTGTTCTGACTTTCTGTTCAGAACCCATCCACTGTAATGAAATGCTAAGTATTTGCTAGATCTATGATTCACGTGAAGCCTTCTGTTAATAAAATACATATAATGAAGACTTTAGGGCCAAATTACTAAACTTTTAAACTATAAAAAATAACGAGAGAGGAAGAGAGAAAAACTCTTTCACTTTACAAAACAGGAAACTGTTCTGAGTGAAAACTGGTAACTGCTAAAGTACATAATAAAACTTTAATAATAATCAACAACAAAATTTGAGTTTTTTCAAATAATATTTTAACTAAATTTTGCTAAAGGTTTTTCCATGCAAAAAATGTTACACAGAAAAGCATCTGATTTTTTGCTCAGTGAAGTTAAAGCATAATGTAATAGTTTAAAAAATCTTTTATGGCAACTAGCTTTTCCTCTCAAGCCTTGCAATGCTCTTCAAATTGAATAAATAAACAGTTTCCCTTTGCAACAATCCACATTAGTTCTTCCCAGGATAGAAACAAAATAAAACAACTAACTCCACTGGGCCTTTCTGTGTTTCTCAGAATTAAGTGCTTTAAAGAAGTCAGGCTCTTACCTCCCCATGCTTTGGTCCTATGAATCTCACTGTTACGTGGGGTAATTCATGAAACCGACCCCATTTTATCGACATGATTCGACCCCCATTCCAGGAAATGGCTCTCACAGAAGTGGGGGTGCATGCCGTCAAGGCAGAGCTCAGCAGCTTTGAGCTGCCATTAGTGAAACCGTAAGAGGAAGCCAGAGACTGGTTGAGAAAGGGAAGGAGGGAGGGCTGAGGCTGCTTGTTTCCTTAAGACAGTCTTAACTGTTTGAATGCTGCTGGTAAAGCCAAGAACCCTTGTTACAAAGGATACAGGAAATGAAACAAAACTCATTCCCCCCAAAAACAGTGCATGTGGGCAGTGCTTAAGCTGCAAAGTAAGAACTCTTAGCAAGGTTTGAAGCCAAGTTTTTACAAGGGAAGTTAAGGAACACATCTTACCTATTTAAAAATAGACTCCTCATTTTATAAATTGCAGTGAGTTTCATAACAAAACTTCTTAGTGAAGTCGCCTGTGGTAAAGTGGTGACTAGCTGTTTTCTGAAGTTTGATTTTTCCATGTTTATTTAACAACTGGCAAAATGCTTGATCTGTTTGCTGGGGAAACAAGCTAATGGTATTTAACAGGGATAGATGCACGTAACAACTGCACTAGGGCACTATGAAAGAGGATTCTTCACTTTTCCAAAAATACCCCTTTTATACATGTAATTACAATTAAAAAGAATCAGAACACTTTGGACAACCGTGAAAACATGATATGATCAAACAACTGTCATGTTACAGATCTTTAATCAAAGAAGGAATGAGAGTTATATTTAACACTGACTGAAGTCTTTGTCAACACTACTCTGGGAGGCCCTTCTCAAAGGCTGATGGGTACAGTTCTTTTTTAAACAGACCATAGGATCTAGGAGCTGTAACTGAATGTCCTGTTATAAAGTCATGTAGTATTTGCAGCTGTGTAAGAATCTAACCCGTGCACTCAAAAATACCTACTTCCAGTCAATGAATTTTTTAAAAAACATTTCTAACCAACTTTTGTTTGTCTACAAAGAGGAAAGCTTATTATTAGGTTGCTGCAAAAGTAACTGAGGTTCAGAAAAAAGAAAACCAGTATGACAGGATGGGTTAAAGAGGTCACTCCACTCCCTTTGTGAACTCAAACATCATGCATATAGTGTTTAAATACTCTGAAACATGCAAACTTACTAAGCAGGAATCAGCACTATCTCTCAAAGATACTAAGACAAAAGCAGAAACTGCCAGTCTTCCTGTTGTACTTCCTGTTTAGCCCTTGACAAAATCATTCAATATACGTTATCTAATCTAATCACTTATGCCAGTTGTTGATAATTCTCAAAAGGACATAGGACCAAGAACTCAATTTCTTAAGTTTCTATACAAAACTCAGTGCTCCAGACAAAATAAGTTACTCTCCTGGAAATGTGAACAGTTTATTGCCTACTGGCTTTTGGCTTCTTTGAACATGTTCAAGAACTGTTTATGATCATAATTATATAACTGAATAAAATTTATCTAGGTTAATCACTATTACCTTTTTTTCTTTATTGCTTTGAAACTGCTGTTGCAATAAACTATTTTCATAAAGATATATATATATATACATCATGAATAGAAAGCAGACACTTTCAAACCATCCTTAGGCACTTTTCTAAGAATTAAAGGTGGCATTTTAATATTATATTCAGTAGACGCTTAAATTTTTCCTTTAAAAGATGTAGGTCTAGTTTTATTGTATAGCGAATTAATAAAACAACTGGCTCAGATGGTCTCTCATAGCATCTATTTAAAAAATAATTTTTAAAAACTGAGAATTTATCGTTTTCATAGAAAAAATCAGTGTCAACATCCATAGTAGCACTTTAAATTTGTTAACATTATGGAGAAGTAACATTATTCAACAGTTAAGAACAAGATTAAAGTTAGCATCACTATGCTAAGAAAATTTGGTATTTATTAATTTTTATGTTATCATTTAGAAAATACAGTACTTTTGTATGGTAAAACTCCATGTGGATACATAGCACAGTGAGACAGGGTATTTAATATAACAACACAAAATATACTGTTTTACTATTTCTCTTTCTTCTTTTCTTTTTTTTAAAGGGACAGGGTCTTGGCTCCATTGCCCAGGCTGGTGTATATACAGCTTACTGCAGCCTTGAACTCCTGGGCTCAAATTATCCTCTTGCCTCAGCCTCCTGAGTAGCTAGGACTACTGTGCCATTACACCTAGCTAATTTTCACAATTAATTTTTTGGTAGAGATGAGGTCTCACTATGCTGCCCAGGCTGACCTTGAACTCTTGGCCTTAAGAGATCTTCTGATCTCAGCCTCAAAGTACTGGGATTACATGTATGTACCACTGTGTCCAGGCTCCCCTGCCTTTTTAAAAACAAAAAACATCTTTTGCTACATTGACAAAAGTCAAGTTGTTCCAATTTTATCTAAAAGTGAGCTAATAACAATTCACTATAAAAGGTGACTTACAGTGTCATTGGGACACTCTGAACACTTGGTAAAGGGAAATGGACTGCAATCCAGGATTATGGATTCGTAATTTTTTGGTTTCCATGGCTAAAGACAGCCTGGCTGACAATATGTAAATATATAGAATAGCGGTAAAACATTCTACCCTCTTTGACCTTCATTTTCTTTTTCTTTTTTCTTTTTGAATTATAAAACAAGGCTGAGTCTGAAGTTAACAAGTATGCGACTATGCTAGAAATAATTTTCTAGACTCTTTGCATCTCTCCCTGATTGCCTACTTTTTCTCTATTCTGTACCTGAATAGGAAAAATGAAGACAAAACACAATTCTTGTGGCAGGTTTTGTGGAAAAATTTTTTTGAATGTATCTGCTAAAGAAAGAGATCTTACAAAACATGGTAAAACACTTTGGCTATACTTCCATCAACCCACTGAATGAAGGGCTTCAGAAGCTTAGTGCACCTTGTTTCGTGACGGAGGAGGCAATGCCCTTGTACCCACACAGACACACACACACACAGAGTGATTCCTTGCAAGAGTTCCTTAACCGATTTCAAATGTTTATCTACTTCTGTCTTTATTTTGTTAGAGGGTGTTGTGGGTAGATTACAGTATGATAGGTGAAAAGTTTTTCCCCATGGACTTGAAATATTTGGAATCAGTTTGGGTTCATAAGAAAGTGAACTTCTTTTCTTCCTTTCTTTTCAAAACGCATTTTAAAAAAAGATTAGAAATATATAAAACAAAACATTAAGCATACTTATCTCTAAGTGGGGTTACTACAGGATATTTTCATTCTTTTACTTTTATATTTTGAAGAATCCTATAATGAGCACATAAAAAGTAACCAGATAAAAAATGTTACTTTAGGCTGGGCACGGTGGATCACACCTGGTGTTTTGGGAGGCTGCAGCTGGAGGACTGCTTAAGGTAAGGAGTTAGACCAGTCAGGACAAAACAGCAAGACTTCATCTCTACAAAAAAAAATTTAAACATAGCTCAGCATGATGGCACATGACTGTAGTCCTGGCTACACAGGAGGCTACGGTGGGAGGCAGGAGACTGCTTGAGCCTGGCAGGTCAAGACTGCAGTGAGCCATGATCACGCCACTACACTCTGGCCTGGGTAATAGAGTGGAGTTGTCTATGCAGACACACACATATACACACACAGACTTAGTTTAAATATTTACTCTCCTAAGCACTAAGAGAATATATTCTAAAATGTTCCTACTTAAAAACAGATCTAAGAAATCATATCAGTTTTAAAAGTGATCTTCTGTGGGATAATCATTCTTCCCTCTAAATCCAAATATAAATATTTTCAATCCTTTGATCTTGGCATAAAATCCTTTCTGTTGCATTTAAACTGATATTACAGATTTAAGCACTGTGGTTTAATGAGAATATGGGGTTTGAAACCAAAGAGATCTGGTTTGAACTACTTTTCACATTAGAGGAACATCCTTGGTAAGGTATCTCAGTTTTAGAAAAGAGAGATAATACCTACCTGATAGGGTTGTTGAAAGGGTTAAATAATATATAGAAAGCACTTGGCATACAGTAAAAACTCAGTAACTGGTAGTTTCACTTCTTGTTATTTTCCTTTAAATATCAGGCAATTTTAGAGAGTAATTCTGAATTTATTTCCATTTATGTCTCCATGATTCAGCCAGTTTTGGTGTTATGCAGGCTGTGACAGGATCCTACTGAGGACCGACTGTGGTGGTCACAAGCAATGCCCACAGCGATACTTACTTTGCTCTTCTTACTGCTGGACATTTTATTCTTGATGTAGCTGAATGTACGACTCACTTTTGTTCCACTCTTCCCTTCAAAATCTTTCTTGGAGGGACACTGTGGCAGGAAATTATAGTTCTCTTCTGTTATACTAAATAAAAACAAGAAGATTGATTTTTTTAAAGGACTACACAAGTTAAATGAATGAGAAGTAGAATAAAATGTAGATGAAGGCTGCTGAATAGCTTTTTATAGAGTATGCCACAATGCCCAGGTCCTGTTATCAAAATTTGTCTAAGTTTCCATCACTAATGTTTTTTGTTTACTTATTTTAGTGACAGCGTCTTGCTGTGAGTGATGTGGTAATAGCTCACAGCAGCCATCAACTCCTGAGCTCATGTCTCGCAATCTTCCTGCCTCAGCCTCTAGAGTAAGCTGGGACTAAAGGCACATGCCACCACGCATGGCTATTTTCCAATTATTTTTTTGTAGAGATGGGGTCTTGCTATGTTGCCCAAGCTGATTTTGAACTCCTGGCCTCATGCAATCCTCCCACCTCAGGCTCCCAAAGTGCTGGGATCATAGGCATGAGCTACTGCCTGGCTCACTCTTAATGTTTTAATTATGGATTTTTCAGTGATCTCATGTTAAAAAGAGCCCATCAATCATTCAATAATTATGTTATATGGAATCTATTCATCTACAATAGCACTCAATCTACAAACTCCTTTGCAACAAATAGGTGCTTGAAAGGAAACCCATAATGTAACAGAATGGCAGGGCATTCGTTAACAGGGGTTGCAAACCAAGGAATCTTATGACTGACTACATATCCAAGTTCCTTAACGGTAGACATCACAACTCTTTTCTAGCCTTTTGGCATACTGGACAATCAAGACTGTGGAATGATCCATGCAGCTAGGTTCAATTTTAGGAGGGAACATACTGAATAGCAGGCAGAATTGAGGCAGAGTGTAGAAGAATCAATTTTATGAGCTTTACGTAGATTCAGATTTACTGATCCATCTGTTCAAGAAGCCCACATAAAATCTAAGTCCATCAGGATGGACATGTTCTAACTTAGGAAACTTGCAATGGTTGATTTTCTTAAATGCTGGGCATTTGGGCCAGGTGCGGTGGCTCATGCCTATAATCCCAGCACTTTGGAAGGCCAAGGCGGGCAGATCACTTGAGGTCAGGAGTTCAAGATCAGCCTCACCAACATGGTGAAATGCTGTCTCTACTAAAAAATACAAAAATTGACTGAGTGTGGTGGTACGTGCCTGTAGTCCTGGCTACCCAAGAAGCTGAGGCAGGAGAATAAGTTGAACCTGGGAGGGGGAGGTTGCAGTGAGCCAAGATTGTGCCACTGCACTCCAGCCTGGGTGACATGATGAGACTCTGTCTCAAAAAAAAAAAAAAAAAAAAAATGCTGGGCATTTGAATAAATAATCCGTTATACAGAAAAGGCATCCATTTATATTACTTTGCCAAGGTGTTCTAGAATAGTTATTTTGGAACTTTCTCATAGAACAGCAGTGTTTGCCTCTAGAGCCTCTGTGACAGGGCAGGCCGCAGGCAAAAGCAGCACCATACCGGGTCCTGTCAGCAGTCAGAGTTTATTTATATATATGTTGTTTACAAAACAAAGCAGTCTGTTTTTAAGATAAAGGGGAAATGGTAAGAAACCACTGCTCTAGAAAGGAGAAAGAATAAATAAGCTATAAAAGCAGTGCAAAGAGAAGCATTCATTGCAAGCGTTCTGAATCAGAATCACAACTGATGCCTCTGTGAAAAGGAAGGCCAACTCAAAAAAAATTGCAGGGCAGCCATAGGAACCCCAATTATGCTTCAAGTAGAATATTCAGTCTCATAAGCATGAAAACTGAAGTGAGTCAGAACAGAAATCTTTTGCTCGCTGTCAAGAATCAATTTACTTTGACAAAGCTGTGTACCAGTTATATCCATACAGAAGAACACAGCTTTAAAGCTTAAAACAGCTAAGAGTATTATAAAATGTGTGCGCGCACACACAGACACTAATATGAAACAAAATGTTGTTAGACTATTAGATTTAGGAATGAAAACTCCCCATAAGTAAAGTATGCGCAAGTTCCTAAAGTCAAATAATAGTGTACCCTCACATCAATAAATGCAAAAAATAATTTTTATCCTGAGGACTGTGTAATTAATAAAAGTAGAAAACTATTGGGCCAAGCACGGTGGCTCAAGTCTGTAATCCCAGCACTTTGGGAGGCCGAAGCGGGTGGATCACGAGGTCAAGAGATCAAGACCATCCTGGTCAACAAGGTGAAACCCCGTCTCTACTAAAAATACAAAAATTAGCTGGGCATGGTGGTGGGCGCCTGTAATCCCAGCTACTTGGGAGGCTGAGGCAGGAGAATTGCCTGAACCCAGGATGCGGAGGTTGCAGTGAGCCGAGATCGCGCCATCGCACTCCAGCCTGGGTAACAAGAGTGAAACTCTGTCTCCAAAAAAAAAAGGTAGAAAACTATTGAAGACATTAACTTTAAAAGATATAGCCTTCATTACAAAACCACTTTTAATCATTATTCCAAATTTATCACTCAAATAAGAACCCAATAAGCTCAATTGACTTAGGTTACATAATTAAATGGCCTAACAGATCTTAAATTTCCTTCATTTTATTTCTGAAAAAAGGAGTAACAAAACAAGTCTATAATACCTCTCAGTCACATTAGCACTGGTATTGTGGAAGGTGCTGTGGAAAGGCCGTGAATCTAGAAAACAAAAAAGGCAGAGGAAAAGTTAGAACCAAAACGATTAACACTGGTGGTGGGTAGAATATTTAAAAATTCACAACGACCCAGCTAAAGCAGTAACAGCATGTCAACGTCAGCACATAGCACCTCCTCCTTCTAAAGGTTTGAACGAAGGAAAAATTAAACTTGAAACCCTCAAATTAAGAACCACAAGTAGGCAGTGAATTTCCCATAAAGAAAATAAGTTTAATCCAGGATTCAAGTAACTGAAGACTCCAAGTAACTTTTTCTAATGCTTAAACACATATGAAGCATGTTTAATTCTAGTTATCAATCTTCAGTTTGCACAAACTGTCCTCCTGAGATGACATCATAGGAAGAATACAAAATAGGAAATAAAATATATTTTATCCCTGTTAATCCTGCTTTTATATGTTTCTATACTAAAGATCTAGCTCATCACTAATAATTTCATGACTAATTTCTAGAAACAGATTAGCAAACAGGAAAGAGCATCAAAGTTGATGTATCAAGTCTCGGGCCTGTCACAATTTGGGATGAGACCTTTGGATTTCGTTTCCTCATTTGTGAAATGAGGAAGATAAAACAGAAGGCAAAGTCCTTTCCAGGCTAATAGCGATAAGAAAGAATCAGGCAAATGCATACTTCTTCCTTCCACAACTACTGGATCATAAACTGCCTGAGGTCATTAAAATCCTTTTTTTTTTTTTTTTTTTTTTTTTTGGAGACAGAGTTTCGCTCTTGTTACCCAGGCTGGAGTGCAATGGCGCATTCTTGGCTTACCGCAACCTCCACCCTCCTGGGTTTAAACGATTCTCCTGTCTCAGCCTCCCAAGTAGCTGGGATTACAGGCATGTGCCACCATGCATGGTTAAATTTTTTTTTATTTAGTAGAGATGCGGTTTCACTATGTTGGCCAGGATGGTCTCGATCTCTTGACCTCGTGATCCACCCGGCCTTCCAAAGTGCTGGGATTACAGGCGTGAGCCACGGCGCCCGGCCCAGGTCATTAAAATTCTAAGACTATGTCCAATAGGGCAATATGGAGAAAAACCAGAAGGAACATTATCATTATTTTTATCCACCACATTAGGAAAGGTTGAGTTACTGGAGACTTAGATGAGAGGAAGGCCTCAGTCACAGTGACAAATGCTTTTCAGTTTTCAGATCAGCTATACAACTATTTCCATGTATATTTCAAGGAAACAAGGTTACTCTGTATCACTATTGTTAAGGACATAGACAAAACCCTTTCCTTTCTCCTTGAGGTTGGTTTCAAGGATCTCTGAGATTACTGTGAGCAAAATTTTAATCTGATACAGATTTGAAGATATTCTACAACCAGATTACCAGCATTTGGGCCAGGCATGGTGGCTCATGCCTATAATCCAAGCACTCTGGGAGGCTGAGGTGGGTAGAACACTTGAGGTCAGGAGTTCGAGACCAGCCTGACCAACATGGCGAACCCCCCTCTCTACTAAAAAGACAAAAATTAGCCACACATGGTGGCATACGCTTTTGTAATCTCAGCTACTAAGGAGGTTGAGGCAGCAGAATCACTTGAACCAGGGAGACGGAGGTTGCAGTGAGCTGAGATTGCGCCACTGTACTCCAGCGTAGGTGACAGAGCAAGATTCCAAATCAAAAACAAAAACAAAAACAAAAGCACACCAGATTACCAGCATCTGAAACTCTTCAACTCTCAAACTGTTCTAGATTCTGAACAGAAATGCAAAACTGTAGTTATTCTTTTTATTTATTATTTAAAAACTTTTTTAGAAACAGGGTGTCGCCACGTTGCCCAGGCTGGTCTTGAACCCCTGGGCTCAGGCAATCCTCCTGTCTCAGCTTCCCAAAATGTTGCAATTACAGGTGTGAGCCATTGCACCTGGCTAAATTTAAATTGCCAACAGGTAGGAATAATACATAAGAAACCTTAAAACAAATTCTAAGTCTTCAAAAGATTATCTGCTGTATTTTTTTCCTTTTTCCCAATTTGGGGTGGTTCTTCTATTTATTCACTTACAACACATGGTAACGACAGCCAGGTGAGAGGAAAAGATTAGCAGAGTATGAGTATCTGGGATCCATCCCCAGGTTCTGCATGATCTAGGAAAGAAACTATCAGCATTTTAACCTAATGATGCCTTAGTGTACTTAAAAAAAATCAAGAGGATAGTTTAAATCAGTGGCTTTAAAACTTTTTCTACCCAAGGAAGCTTCAGTGATATAAGCAGCATTAAATTTTCTAAACCTGCCTGGAATCTATTAAACATTTTAAAAATTACCTAATAAGTTACTACCCTAATAATATGAACTAAATAAAAATAAAATTCATAATGCAGGAAAATACCAACTAACACAAAGCCAGGCCAATAATAAGCTTCCAGTAGATACCTGTGGAATAAATTAAAAACCTAACAAATATGTGACTGAGTACTGGAGAATCTATGACTCCTATAGTATTTCCAACTTTTCCACTGCTAAAGATTTTAGTTATAATGTCCTTTTAGATGTGGTTCTGAAAACAGTAATTAATCCACCAATGCCTCTGAAATTACTAGTGTCATCAAGTTTTCAGAGCATCTAAGAGTAGAAAACAGCCAATGCTACTTCCATGTAAAATTATGGACAAAAGAAAAGAAACCTGTCATTAAAGTTAGCCTCCAAAGTATTATTGTGGGTAAATAATATATTGCAACTAGATTATCTTTCAAGGCATGAAATAACCTTCAGACTTATACTACAAGCAGGAACTTCAGCTTGGAACTACTGGATGCACATGGTCAATGTTTTTCAGGAACTAATTTTCCATGGAACACCAGTTTCATGAAATGTTGTATACAGTGCTACACATATTGTGGTTTCCTAGTTAATACATTTGGGAGAAACAGTATATTGAATATCGCGTTGGAAATCCACAACGTAATACAATGTTAGCATTTTAAGTCTGCTTAACCCAAAGTTTCCCAAATTTATTAATACTTGGCCACAAACCAACCACTCTGTCCTTTTCCTTCACCCTGCCTACACCTAATTCTTACTAGTGCTTTTGAATTTAAGAAACACACTTTGAGAAGATTCTTGATTCAAAAGTTTGTGAAAACTTCTGTATTTTTAGGGTTCCACAGTGTTGCATTAACAGAGTGACCAGTGCTGTTACAGGGTTATAATTCTGTATTAGTGGGACTTTGGCTTACTTGTCATGCTGACCTGGCTACTTCCCAGAATATTACTTTTTTTTGTTGTTGAGATGGAGTCTTGCTCTGTCACCCAGGCTGAAGTGCAGTAACACGATCTCAGCTCACTGTAAACCTTCGCCTCCTAGGTTCAAATGATTCTCCTGCTTTAGCCTCCTGAATAGGTGACCACCACCGCACCTGGCTAATTTTTTGTTTTTTGTTTTTTTGGATGGATATAGGGTTTCACCATGTTGGCCACGTTGATTTTAAACTTTGACCTCAAGTGATTCGCCTGCCTCGGCCTCCCAAAGTGCTGGGATTAGAAGTGTGAGCCACCACACCCGGCCTATTACAAACACTCTGAAATGAAAGCTTTGAAAATGTTTGAATATCCAAAGTTGAAGTGTATTTTCACAACTTTCTTCCTATTACAACTGGGATCATCTTATTCTGTGTCTATTTTTCAAACATCTTTTATTAATGAAAAATATACCAAATGCTTAATAAGGCCTCCATTTAAAACCAAATTAACTAAACTGTTTTGTCTCACTGTGCATAAGGCACTTCCCTTTAAGAACAGTGTGAAAATGCCAGCTTGAGCAACACTTAATATTGCTGAAATTTAGGATCAGCAAGTGGTAGGGAATTAGAGCACTCAATCATATGAATATGGTAACTGTCTCAGACTCGTAATATGAGTTATATAAAAATGATTCATTATTTAACTTTCTATTATAAATGCTTTCTCCATTAAAAGCAATTCTGGAGTATTCTAGAAATCTTGCACAATTAAAGATTGTAATTTTCATAAAGGGGGTTATTTCCTTTCCAAGTTTACTAAAATTGATGCCTTTTAAAGTTTTATACTAGGCATTATCAAGTAAGAATGTATTCATTTGAAACCTACAGCTTATCCAAAGAACTAAATAATAAAAGTTCAAAAGGAGAGAGAAAGTAGGAGACAAATATGCATATAACTCCCTCCCTCTAACACATAGGGTCTAATCTTAAAAGAAAGTTATTTTTAAAGAAATGGTCTGAAAAGCAGAAAAAAAAGTATTAACAATAGCTTTTAAATACCACAGAAGAACATCAACATATCTGTCCCATTAGCCAGAACAACAAAACAAGGAAGATAAAATTTACACTGCCAAGTAAAGTTTTGTGAAATTAGCACACAGTATTACAAAGAGTACACAATGGGACGAGAACATATCCTCTACACCTTTGAGGGTATCCGTGTGCTAGAAATATACCCTGTGCCCTGGAATCAGGAGGCCAATGGCTCAGTGTTAGCAGCATGAAGAAGACAAAACATGTTCTATCCAAACCAATTCTCAAAGCCAAGCATGAAGACAAATGACTTACAAAGGATGGCATGCAAGGGGCTAAAAGTCCCCAAACAATTCCTTAGTACCAAGCCTACAGTGTTTTCTGAGCTGGTCAGACCTTCAAGAATAGTCACTGGACACTAAAAGTTGCTTACTTACTATGAAACTCCTCCTCCTCATCACTGGAATAAGAAGAGTGAAGAGAAAAGAGAGTTTTATACTTAAGGAGGAGCAGAGAGATACTGATGGAGGAGATCTGCCTTGCTGGCCGCATCTGATGCTGAGCTGAGGAGGGTCACAGAAGACATTAGAGCGTGCACAAATTACGCCAGGACCTTCAGCACATGGGGAAACAGAGTAATGTCAATGGCCTACGTGGTTCCGGGAAATGCTGTATAGGTGAACAATGTAATAATTTGCGTACATTTTCATTTGCATTTCGAAATAAACAGAATTCTAATGCAGTTTCTAACAAATTCAGCTA